ACGAAGCAAGTACACGAGTGTGGACGGGAGAGTTGGAAGGGGTCGACCTCAGCGAACGGACCTCAATCAGACTGAGGACGTTTTTAGCCAAGGCCAGCTTAGGAGCTCCCTAATTAAGTTCATAACAATGTACCTACCCATATAGTTTAAGCTTAAAAAATTTGGCTCAAAAGAAATTTCAATCATTGTACTGTTGATATTTGGCTCTGTTGACCAATGAGTTTGCCGACCACTGAACTAGGAAATTACAGTTTGATTCCGTCAGGCACATGCCCGGTTTGCAACCTGGATCCCCAGTAGGGGGCGTGCAGGAGGCAGCCAATCAATGTTTCTCTCTCATCATTGATGTTTCTCTCTCTCTCTCCTTCCTTCCTCTCTGAAATCAATAAAAAAAAAGAAAAAGAGAAAAACAGTGTATTTAATTTTTTTTTTAAAAGGGAACAGCCTATCTAAAGGCCCCAAGGCTGCCACTTGCCAAGTGCTTTTGAGAAACATCAAGGAGACAGGGAGGCTAAAGCTGAGAAAGTGAAAGGGAGAGCGGGCAAGGATGAGGGCCTGGGGGGACAGGGCAGGTCTCGCAGGGCCTTGCGGGCCATGATGAGGAGTCAGCTTTCACCCCCAGTAAGATGAGAACCGTGAGCGTTCTGAGCCGTGATGGGGGTGGGGGTAAGGGAGGCACTAGCCCAGGCCCTGGAATACTGTGACTGCTGTCTAGTAGCCATGGTGACTGTGACGTCTATTGTTTTTGTTATTTTAATATGTGAAAGGAAGTCTTCAAGTGTTTATCCTCCTCTCTGCAGCTGAAGTGCTGTGGGGTGAAGAGCTACACAGACTTTTCTGGTTCCTCCTTTGAGAAGATGACTGGCTACACCTACCCCAGGAGCTGCTGCAAATCCATCGGGACTGCGGCCTGTACCGGGCACAACGTGTCCTCCGATGTCATCCACCAGGCGGTAACTCCCGATTTTGTTGGCCACCACCATGGTAGACCCCGAGGGCTGGGGACTTTTATAAAAATTGCACATTTGCCCTGGCTGGTGTGACTCGGTTGGAGCGTCGTCCTATACCCAAAAGGTGGTGGGTTCGATTTCTGGTCAAGGCACGTTCCCAGGTTGTGGGTTTGATTCCCGGTGATTGGTGTTTCTCTCTCAGGTTGATGTTTCTCTGTCTCTCTATCTCTCTGCATGCCCCCTACCCAGGATCGAGCCCACAACCTGGACATGTGTCTTGACTGGGAATTGAAGCAGCAACCTTTTGGTGCCAGGATGATGCCCAATGAACTGAGCCACATTGGCCAGGGCTGAGCATTCACTTTAACTCAATCCCCATCACATCCCTCCAGGCTCTTCTCCCATTTTACAGATGAGGAAACCGAGGCACAGAGAGCTTCCCATAGCCAGGGAGTGGTTGGCCTGGGCTTTAAACCCCACGGCCCAGCTTCCTCTTGACTTCTGTCATGAGTAAAGGAACACAGATCTTCTCTGAGGGAAGAAACAGGAATCATTCATTCATTCATTCATCACCCTGAATGGCTCCTGCTGGGAGCCGGACCCTGGACCTCAGAGATGAACACACTGGCCCCTTGGGCCCTGCACAACCACTTCTCCTCCGACTCACACCCTCACTCATCCTGCTGCAGCCGCACCAGCCTCCTCGATGCAGCACAAACACATCAGGCGCCTGCCAGCCTCAGGGGCTTTGCAAAGGCTGTTCCTTCTGCCTGGAATTCTCTTCCCCTAAATGTCTTCCTACCTCACTTCCTTCTAGTCTGTGCTCCATTGTCACTTCTTGGTGAGATATTCCCGACCCCTTCTCTATAATAGGATCTCCCCCCAAATCACCATTACACTTCATCTCCTTCCTCTGCTTCAGTGTCTGTCCGGTGCTTAACCAGTACCTACTACCTGTTTTCCCCACGCAAATGTCGGCCCCACCAAGGCAAGGATTTTGTCTGTTTTCACATTGCTGGGTTCCAGCACCCACTGCCTCGCATACAATAGGCACTGAGTAAATATTCATTACGTGAAGGGGGCTACTGAACTGCCAACAGCGAGCAATTAGGCAGCCCCAGCTTCCAAACACAGGAAGTGCTGGGGGCCTAGAAGGTGAGGGGCATCTCCGTGGCCGCAACAAGGGGAGTGGAGCCTGCTCTGCTCACCCACTGTGTCTGATCTCTTCACCTGTCTGAGCTTCAGTTTCTTCATTTATAAAACAGAGAGCCGGGCTGGTGTGACTCAATGGTTGAGCGTCAACCTACCAACCAGGAGGTCACGGTTCGATTCCTGGTCAGGGCACCTGCCCGGATTGTGGGCTCGATCCTCAGTGTGGGGCATGCAGGAGGCAGCTGATGAAAGATTCTCTCTGACCGTGGATGTGTCTATCCCTCTCTCCCTCTCCCATCCTCTCAGAAATCAATAAAAATATATTGGGGGGGGGGGGAATAAATACCTACCTTATGGGGTTGTTGTAGGAAATGAGTGAGAAGGTGCTAGAAACACGTACATCCTTCTCTTCATATATAAAGAACACTCAGATATAACGAACAGTTCCTGAACGCTGGCTCTGTGTCAGGCCACTGCTCTGTACTTCCTGTAGATTCTTTCTCTTAATGCAGTGGTTCTCAACCTCTGGCCCTTTAAATGCAGTTCCTCATGCTGTGACCCAACCATAAAATTATTTTCGTTGCTACTTCATAACTGTAATGTTGCTACTGTTATGAAGCGTAATGTAAATATCTGATATGCAGGATGGTCTTAGGTGATCTCTGTGAAAGGGTTGTTCGACCGCCAAAGGGGTCGCGACCCACAGGTTGAGAACCTCTGTCTTAATCCACTCAAAAATCTTGTGAGGGGGACCCAGTTGGTCACATTTACAGTTGGGAAACTGAGGCACAGAAAGGGGGTCCCACAGTTAGTGATGACTTGCACACGTGGACACTGGGGAGTGCTCTGGGGGTGTGTGTGGAAGAAGGAGGCAGCTAGGGCAATGCTGGCATGTTGGGGGGCAGTCAAGGGAGAGGGAGCCAAGGTCCTGTCGCCCTGTCCCTTTCTCCTCCCTGAATCTGAGGGCAGTTTGAATGGCCCCAAAAGGGGTGGGTGGTGACAGGGCCTCAGAGACTCTGAGCCCCTAACCAGGTCCCGCCTGCTTTGATATTTGTACCTGCAGGGTTGTTTTCCCAAGCTCCTGAAAATAGTCACGGTTCAGAACGTCAACCTGAGTCTAGGCTCACTGGGGGCAGCGGTGATGCAGGTAAGCCTCGCTCCGCTGGGACGCACTACACTCTTTTATTGAGCACCTACTGTGTGCCAAGCACTGTTCGGGGCACTGAGGACACAACAGTGATGAAAAAAGACAAAAATCACTGCCAATGTGGCACTGACATTCAAGTGGGGGAGGCAGTAAAACATGGTGATGGAATAAGGAAGATTGGGGAGGGACTGTCTGAGGAGGTGACCGCTGACCAGTGACCTGAGGAAAAGCCGTGTGTGTATATGGGGGGAGGGCAGAGGGAACCGTTGGTGCAAAGGCCCTGAGGCTGGGATAAGCGTGGCTTATTCAAGGACCAGCAGGGAGGCCCCTGTGGCGAAGCAGGATGGACAAGAAGGGTCAGAGGAGGGCAGGCTGATGCGGGCAAGGTAATATAAGGCCTTGTGGGTTACAGAGAGGGGTTGGCTTTATTTTGAGAATAACAGAAAGGCAGTAGACAGGTTTAAAAAAAAAGAAATGCTTATTTTAAAAAAATATTTTTGTTGTGTTTATTTACTTCAGACAGGAAGGGAGAGGGAGAGAGAGAGAAACATCAATGATGAGAGAGAATCATTGATCAGCTGCCTCCTGCACACCCCACACTGGGGATAGAACCCGAAACCTGGGCATATGCCCTGACTGGGAATTGAACCCGTGACCTCCAGGTTCATAGGTCAACGCTCAACCACTGAGCCACGCCGGTCATGCAGTAGAAAGGTTTTTCACATCTTTTTTACTCCACGAACTTTATTGAGCACCTACTAGGTCCAGTCAATATTGTAGACACTAAGGATACAATTTAGAATTAAACAAACAAAATCTCTGCTCTCATGGAGCTGGCCTTCTAACCAGCGGGGATAGGCGAGAAACATGATTTTTAAATTGGAAAATGTGGCCCTGGCCAGGTAGCTCCGTTGGTTGGAGTTTTGTCCTGAGATGCCAAGGTTACGGGTTTGATCCCAGTCAGGGCACATACAAGAATCAACCAATGGCCCTAGCTGGTTTGGCTCTGTGGATAGAGCGTTGGCCTGCAGACTGAAGTGTCCCGGGTTCGATTCTGATCAAGGCATGTACCTCGGTTGCAGGCTTGAACCCCAGCCCCGGTCAGGGCACATGCAGGAGGCAACCAATCGATGTGTCTCTCTCACATCGAAGTTTTTCACTCTCTAAAAATCAATGGGAAAATATCCTCAAGTGAGGATTAACAAAAGGAGGAGGAGAAAAGGAAAGAGAAGAAAAGAAGGGGTGAGGAAGGCATGTGGGTGCTGGGGATTCAAGTGAGAAACAACTTACCCTGGAGATGTGCCCTCTTCATCAGCTAGTGAGTCTGGCCTACACCTCTCTGGTGGGAGGCCTGAGGGGGCAAGGGCTGGGGCTCCAAACTCTGGTCCTAGTCCTGTCACTCACTGGCTGAATGACTGTGAGTTAGCACGACAGCCTCCCTCATTTGTAAGATGGGCTGTGCCGTTGTTTGCTGTGAAGCACTGACGAGGTGGAGGGCGTCAGAGGCATTTCGCGATGCCTCTGGGAATCGTGACTCTGGGAAGTTACTGTCATCAGCCCGAGAGAGGTCTTATCCGAGGCAGGGGCCACAGGGAGGCAGAGGCAGCGAGATGATGAGTTCTCCATGCACCACTAGAGATGCTCAAAGGCCACTCACCATGGAAACAGTGTGCACAGGAGCCATTCTCATCCCTGAGCCTGTCCAAGGAGCAGCTCTTCCCTCAGGGCCAAGTTCAGATAAGCCCCAGGGAGAGAGAAATATTTTTTGTTAAAACTTTTCTTCTCCTATCTCACACAAACATAATTGCAGAAGGCAATAACTATAAAACTGTGTTGACAGACTTATGTTAAAATGTAATATACATGACAATAATAGCATGAACAAGGTTGGAGAAAACAGCTATATAGGAGCAAAGTTTTTGTAGGCTACTGAAGTTAATTTACTCTTAATCCAAGGAAGACTGTAAAAAGTAAAGATGTTCATTGTAATCCCCAGTTGACTGGGCCTCGTCTTGTGCACTGAAAGGTATCAGTTCCATTCCTGGTCAGGTCGCACCTGGGTTTCAGGCTTGATCCCCACTAGGGAGCATGCTAGAGGCAGCCAATCAATGTTTTGCTCTCACATATATGTTTCTTTCTCTCTCCCTTCCTCTCTTTAAAAAAAATCAATGAAAAGATTTTTTTGAAAATTAAAAATAGAACTGCTTAATGACCCAGTGACTCCACCTCTGGGATATATCTGAAGAAACCCAAAACACTAATTGGAAAGAATATATGTGCCCTTTGTTCATTGCAGCATTATTTACAACTAGAGGCCCGGTGCACGAAATTCATGCATGGGGAGGGGGTCCCTCAGCCCAGCCTGCAATGATGCCAGTGTCCCTTGCACCGGCCTCTGGCCCGAGACCCCTCCCTCCCGTCACGCAGCCAGGGTGGGGACGCTGGGCTTGTGTTGCCGGGGCAATGCCACCAGCATCCTGCCCCAGCCACTATGGGCGCTGCCATCTTTGCCACAAAGTGATGGCTAATTTGCATATTACTCTTTTATTAGATAGGATAACCAAGATACGGACACAACCCAAATGGCCATCAATAGATGAACAGATAAAAAATATGATGTTTCTATATTTTTAATACAAATTAAAAGATTTTTTAAATTTATATTTTTATTGATTTCAGAGAGGAAGGGAGAGGGAGAGAGTGATAGAAACATCAAAGATGAGAGAGAATCACTGACCAGTTGCCTTCTGCACACTCCCTACTGGGGATAGAGCCCACAACCTGGGCATATGCCCTGACCCAGAATTGAACCGTGACCACCTGGTTCATACAGGTCAGGCTCTCAGTGATGTTTCTATCTCTCTCTCTCCTCTCCCTTCCTTTCTCTGAAATCAATAACAACTTATTTTTTTTAAAAAGAGATAATAAAATCTTTTAAAAATAAAGAAGAAGAAGAAGTACAAATTGGTACAAATTGTTAGCCACAGAATAGTCATGGAGATGTAAAGTACAGCGTAGGGAATATAGGCAATAATATTGTCAGGACTATATACAGTGCCAGGTGGGCCCCTGAAATATTGGGAGGACCACTTTGTAAAGTATATGATTATCTAACATTATGTTGTGCACTGGAAACTAATCTATACTAATAATAGAGGAATATGCAAATTGTCCGGCACACAGGCACAGTAAAGTAACGACCGAACAGCAGGCTGCATGGGGTGACAAAGCTGGCAGGGGTGTTAGTGAGGGACGACCAAATGACTGAACAGCAGACTGCGTGGGGCGACCAGGCTGGCAGGGTGGGGCAGTTAGGGGCAACCAGGCTGGTAGGGGTGGGCAGCTAGGGGTAATCAGGCAGGCAGGCAGGTGAACAGTTAGGAGCCAGCAGTCCCGGGTTGTGAGAGGGATGTCCGACTGCCGGTTTAGGCCTGATAAACCAGCAGTCGGACATTCCCCGAGGGGTCCTGGATTGGAGAGGGTGCAGGCTGGGCTGAGGGAACTCCCTCCCATGCATGAATTTCATGCACTGGGCCTCTAGTACAAAATAATATTGTATGTAAACTGTCATTGAAAAAAAAAAAGATCAGAAAAGTAGCTTCCGGGCCCTCTGCAGAGGTGTGGGCAGAGTTCAGGAAAACGAGGGCTGTTGAGGTACTCAGGGCCCAGCCGCTTGGGGAGCTTTTACTTCTCCTAGTCCGGAAGTGCCGGGCGAGCAGGCTTGGAGCGTTCAGGATGAGCAGAAGAGAGGAGGGAGTGGGACTACTTCAAACTTTCCCCATTCTCCCATCTCTCATTGGTGCTTCCTATTGGCCAAATCTAACAGGAAGGAAGAAGGCAGGGGTTTCTGGGAAATGTAGTTTTCAGGACCCAGGGGAGAACAGAAGAGGGTGGAGATAAGACCTGGGGGAAGCAAAGGGAGAATGACTGCTGTGCATCCTGAAAGGCCTCCACCTTCTACCCTCCACTGAAACGCTGTGAACGGGTCCAAATGACCTCCACGTGGCCCTGAGGACCCCGAGGCCATGTGTAAACCCTGCCCCTGCCGTTTCCGGAACACGATGCTACCCATCTCCGTGTTTCCAATTTGATTCCCGTTCCAGAAGTCCCTCAAGTTGGTTCCATGTTTCTTTCTTCCATTTCAGCTGCCAGGAATTCTTACCACCTTGTTGCTGTTTGTGAAGCTGGACTGACAGGACACCTGGGCACACCTGGCTGTTGGAGATGTGGTCTCATTTTTGTTTCTCTGTGGAACTCACTGTATTTTTGAAGGGAGATTGATAATAAAAGATTGGGGAAACTTCTGTCATCCCGACTCCTTTCTCCTTCGCTTTATTTAGTTATTTTTCTTTTGTTTTGTTTTTTCCTTCGCTTTATTTTTCATACTAGCTGGCAATGATTTTAGTTCACATGCAACTGTCTTGTTTGGTAAATTATTATGTGAAAAAAAATAAAAAATATTCACAAAAGCCCTGGCTGGTTTGGCTCAGTGGATAGAGTGTCGGCCTGCGGACTGAAGGGTCGCTCGTTCGATTCCGGTCAAGGGCATGTACCTTGGTTGCGGGCACGTCCCCAGTAGGGGGTGTGCAGGAGGCAGCTGATCGATGTTTCTAACTCTCTGTCCCTCTCCTTTCCTCTCTGTAAAAAATCAATAAAATATATTTTTTTAAAAATATTCACAAAAGAAATATTTTGTCCAAAGAAACCCCCATGTACTCCTAACCCAGACTCAGCAATGACCAAGAATTTGACATTATTTGTTTCATTATCCCTTTTTCTCTCTCTCTTTTTTCAAAATATGTTTTTGAGGAGAACCAAGCTGGCAGCACAGGTAAACACAGGTACTTGCCACCTTGCACAACCACATCAAAATGACAATACAATACAGAACAACCATCATTGAGAACTGCCTGAAAACTGGCTGAACAGAAGTCCTACAACTAGAGAAGTAAAGAAGAAAGTACATCGAGACTACTATGAGAGGCAGAGGCCCACACCAGGACACATCATAATTAAAATGCCAAAGGTTAAAGACAAAGAGAATTGTATACACAGCAAGAGAAAAGCAGTTTCCTACCTACAAGGGAGCACCCATACAACTATCAGCTCATTTCTTCACAGAAACTTTACAGACCAGAAGGGAGTGGCAAGAAATATTATAAGTGATGAA